TCCATCCATCCATCCATCCATCCATCCATCTATCTATCTATTAAGAGGTCTCTTCCGTCTCTCGTGTCCCTCTGTGGCCACCAGAATATCCAGAGTTCCATGACCTTTGACATTTCTATCGGGTCACTCATGTTCTCAGGTTACAGTTAAAACAACATCCATTTACTGTAACAGTATTTTGTGTTTTTATGATTTCCATATGCTTAACAATTGATTCATTTCTAGACTAATAGGTGTTCACTTTATGTCAAAAACAGAGTTCTTCATAGTTCTATGACCAGTTGTTTATTTAGTGAAGAGATCTACCTTTGTCCCCCATTTATCAGTGCAGGGTCTTCACAGCATTGCCCTTATAGTGATTTGGCACAGTATTTACGGTGGGTGTACTTCCTCACTCTACTGCTTGTGTTCAGTAACTGGGGCAAAGGTTTACCGCACCTTTGCCGCAAAATGTTTAAATGTTGCACCATCTCGGTTAAAACATCTCAATAGTTCCATTTGTTTTCTCTGCACATATTACTGGCCAGTTAGCAATAGAGACATTATGACACTAAAACGTAATCAAATCAAAGTGGTCAATTCAGTTTAATTTACAATCTGTAATCTTCAGTGTTTCTGATGACGTGATAACTACATTCTGCAAAATTTGATTCATTACAATTTGAATGTCAGCAAATGTAAAATTATATTGCCTATAATATATCATATTCCAATATCAGTTGACCAAAGATCAATGGTACGTCACATTAGCTGAATGGCGAAGTTTATGGGATTTTTTGGTTACTCCAGTAGAAACGTCTGTCTTCCGCAACAACATTCCACAGTTGACCAGAGTTTCTATAGTTGACGGGAAATAATAAAGCAAACAAATAACTGTACAGTATTTCTTATATATATGTATATGTATACTGTATATACGTAAATGGACGTAAATGTTATTCCCCCAGTGTGCTGATAGGAGAGGACAATCTTATAAAGCTTTAATGTTCCCTGTTTTACCCGCTGTAAACTCCTATAAAACTCAAAACTATACTTTAAAAAAGGTTCAGTGTTTTTATTGATAATAAAAAATCTGTTTGACATTTACCCCCCCCGATGTTTTCTTTTCTTTTTTTTTTTTTTACCCCTGGTGGTCTTCTGTGCATGCGCGTGCACAAGACAATGTAGCTATGTGCACGCACATGCACGATTCGTGTTACTGGCGTCTCCCCACGCATCGTTGAGCCCACACCGCCCTCTGCGCCAATCACAGCTCGCGCTCCACCGCCGCACATGCGTGTCGCTCACACGCACGGAAATAACGCGTACATTGACAGCACGCTCAGACGCGCTGTCATGATACGGCGCTCCTCAGACTCCGCACGACTCTCCTCCACCTCCTCAACTCCCTCCGCCGCCGTGTCTACCGAGCACCCCCTGCGCCAAAGGTGAACATGTTCGCCCGGGTACAGAGCGAAGCGCTACCAGCCTGAGCTAACCCGAGCTGCGGAGATACAGAGAGAGAGAGAGAAAGATAGAGAGAGAGAGGCAGGGGCAGACAGACAGAGATAGAGACAGAGAGAGAGAGAGAGAGAGAGAGAGAGAGAGAGAGAGAGGAACACCGTCTCCCCTCCCGCACGTCTCCTCTCTGCAAAAACCGCAGCGCAAGGCGTTTCATTTCGCATCTCCTCCTGCACCTTAGTCTTTAGAGGAGAGACTGGAGGAAAATAAGGGAATCCTACCTCCTCCATTGGCATACTTCCGTTTCCCCATTTGTGGACTTATTGGATTTTTTTTTTCTTTCCTGGCTGTCGTTGGACGCGCGTGCGCGTCACCGCTGAATTCCGTTGAATGGTGGATTTGGCAAACATGGAGACCGTGGAAAAGGAATGCGGGGCCCTGGGGGGTCTGTTCCAGGCCATAGTCAACGACATGAAGGTAACTGCACCCCCCCCCCCCCCCCCCCCCCCCCCCCCCCCCCCCTCCTCCCCCCCCCCCCCCCCCCCCC